GAAAGAGATTATGAGCTCTTGAAGATAAAGCTGCGGTTGATGTAAGCTGGGCTTTCTGAACCCCCGCGTGATGCCTTAGCTGAAGCCATCCAAGAAAATTTTAATCTGGAGTCAGAGTTAGCTAAGGTGATGGAAACTATTGAAAAAGCTCAACAACCATTGGACTTCCCTTCTCCCGCGATTGAAGTTTCCGAAGCTGAAGCTACCGGAGTCGATGTTCCCGTGACCGCTGGAATTGCCTCGGGTGATGCACCCTCTACAAGCTCAATCGTGCCCCTTACTGCAAGTCAAGTTGAAACTTCATCTATTGATACTTCAATGGTTGGAAATCAACCCACTTCCATTGGTGATGCTATTCCAGTTGAGCATGCTGATGATCCTCCTTCAATCCTTTCCTCTCAGTAAAAATTTATATCTATTTTTGAATTCCTTTTTGCAGGTACCTATTTGGAAAACAGTATTTAAAGCTTTTGGGTTCATTTGAGAGTTTTTGTAATCAAACCCTTGGCTACTATTTGAGGGTTGATTTTTGGAAATACAAGTCCCCAAGTCTTGTTATGGGGCATTTAGTATAAACAATTTGATGACTAAGTTTATACTTAGTCTTTAGTTTTAAATGTTAGGAAGTTCTTATTTATCATTTCACTTTCGTATGTTCTATCCTTGGCTTTTTATCTTTAAGAACTTAAAGAATAGTCTGCATTTTTGTTCTTTGAAAAATGCTTCTGTTAATCCCATGTCTAAATAACATGAGTTTTATAAAAGAGGGCCCTTTTATATTTTGACACTTAATGAAGAAGACGTCTCAACTTCATAATGGTGTGATCATACGATAAAAGAAATAGGAGCACACATGTTTTTTGCAATAACTTTGACAAGTCTTTATTTCTGAACTTTGAAAAGTTTTGGGTAATACTTTACATGTATTTGAATTATATCTATAACTTTCTCGCAACTGTTTTCCTTGTAACAGATTTATACAAAAGAAGAACAATAGCTACGGGGTTTGTCCTTATAACCCGTTTTAGTACATAGTCCTTTTAGCTCCAGAACATTAGGAAGAGTTTGAGAGATGACTCCATTGTTCTTATGGGAAAGAATACTATGATGAATGCCATGACTTCGTAACTTTCACTCCGTACTTGATTCTTCTAGGCTTGATTTTCTAAATCTTCTATGCCTTTTTGATACACGTGACTGTATATACTATGTAGTCCCCCAAGTGTTTGAGTGTTGAAGTATGAAGCCTCTAGCACTTGGTAGTCTCCTTCACCTGGTCCTTTTTCTGAAAAGGAAATACATACGGGACTCGGGGGTGTGTGATTATAGATGAAGACTGCTTAACCCGTGTATACTTATATCAGAATAATTATAACC